GTCTACGAATGGATGATTTTCCATTTTAACACCTTGGAGCCCATGCAGCCCATATGTGGGCTGCAGTCCTTCGACCACCTAGGACCTTTCAGCTACATTTTGGACGCAAATGTTAAGTTTTTCTTTTGTTTTCTTCACAAAGTTTCTTCTACACCATACAGTAGCTCTTACTTTTCAATTGATTTGACAAAATTGTTGAAATTCTACTGAAGGCCCACTCGGCCGCAAAACGTCAAACATGCGCGGTCTTCAACCTGTTAATGAACACAGAATCCACAATTTCCCATTGGCCGCTATTACTCCACCAATTTGATCTGTGGTCACTGCTTCAACAGTTGAGCATGTGTTGTGATATATCGCACCTCTGCACCGCTTGAGTAATAGAGCCATTTCGACACCGGATCTCATCATAAACCAACTTGCGATAGTCCTTCTTCCATCTTACAGAAGTGTCCATCCACCATATTGCTCCGAATTTCATCACTGCCATCTTAACACCGCCGCTTTGGTTGGATAGTTGAGATTGAACACAAAATCTATAAATCACACAGCAAAACGAGAGTTCCCAAAGCCGCCATAGTTATAACTCGGTGATAAGTGTCTTGTGTTATTGCATGTTCAAGAACATAATTAAAAATTTTAGTGAAACTGACCGCAATTATCAACGGCTTCCATCTATACTCCAATAAATTCTTCACATATGATGGATACTCAGAGAATGGGAAGTTTTGCAGCTCCACTAGGCACTTATTCTCGAACAAGTACTAGTTATGAGTAACGAACCAGGCCAATGTTGAGAAAAGAAAAGTACAATTGTAAATCTTATCGCCTCACTTTTAACTCCTCCACTGATTGCAGGCTTAATCCTAAGTCGTAAACAAGGATCCTCTCATGCGGCCAGAATTTCCGTATATTGGCTATCTGGAACTCGACACAAAGAAGTGCTCAGCCTTAACAAGTAAACTTTCCAACATCAGTTTTAAAGAGGTCCTCAAAAGCGAGAGAATCATTCACACAAAAATGTTTCAGCACAATGTCCGCCATTAGATGCGCAACAACGTAATGAATGAGATCAACGGCTAACAAATCATGAAGAAAATAGGAATGGTAGCAAAGTACCCCTCACTCGTACCCAAAGATGGTGATTTTGGGCTGTCGACTTTCTTCTTCTCCCTAGCGTTAGTCCCGCGCAGTCGCAGGGTCCGCTGTTTTTGTCAGTCGTCGCCACTTTGCTCTGTCCAGGGCATCTTCCATCGTGGCCGTGACCTTCACCTAGGTCCTTCTTGATTACGTCTTTCCACCTTTTCTTCGGGGCTCCTCGCGGTCGCTTGCCTTGTACTTCGAAGTCCATCGCTGTTCTTATCGGATGGTCCTGTGGCCTCCTTAGCACATGCTCACACAATCCTTCAGCTGGACAGGGGCAGTCTGCATGACCGCTCTGACATCCTCGTTTCTGACCCGTCCAGCCGCGTCGCAGGCCCATCTCAGCATCCTCATCTCAGCGGAGTGAAGCTGCCTTTCGTGATTCTTGTTCAGGGGCCAGCACTCGCTGCCGTAGAGCATCGCAGGCCTTACCACTGTCCGGTACACCTTCCCTTTGAGCGCTCTGGAGCACCTTCGATCGCAGAGGATTCCAGTGGACTCCCTCCATTTCATCCATGCAGCGTTGACCCGAGCCTTCACCGCCTGATCCACACTGCCAGATCGCAAGGTAGCGGAAGTCCTCCACCCTTTCGATGGTCTCACCATGGGGTGCGTATAGCTGCCTTGGCCCCATCGTACATGTCCTTCACCAGAGAGATCAGGTGTTCTGGCACGTTCCGTTCCCTGAGCGCTCTCCATAGTACTGCTCGCGGTAGCCGGTCGAACGCCTTCTCCAGGTCGAGGAAGGCTAGGTAGCAGGGTCGGCGCTTTTCTCGATACTTCTCCATCACTTGCCTGCGATGAAGATGGCATCCGTTGTAGACCTTTCGGGCATGAACCCGAACTGTTCCTGGGAGATCGGGACCAGCTCCCGCAGTTTCGAGTCGACCAGGCGCTCGTACAACTTCATGGTATGCGCAGTCAACTTGATACCGCGGTAGTTGGAGCAGTCCATCGCGTCACCCTTCTGCTTGAAGATGGGGACGATAGTGCTTGTTCTCCAGGCATCCGGCATCCTTCCTTCGGCAGTCACCGTATTCAGGAAGCGGGTGAGCCACCTTCACCCGTGCTCTCCCAGGGCCTTCCAAGCCTCTATGGGTACTCCATCCGGACCAACTGCCTTTCCAACCTTCATCTTCCCAAGTGCACGCCGAACCTCATCCTCTGTCCAGAGTGCGATGGGACCAGCTGTGGCCTCTGCCCGTGAGTTGTCTCAACTCCTCGTTCAGAAGACCTCTGAAGTACTCTTCCCACCTCCTCCGAACTTCGGCTGGCTTCAGGATGGCGCCGTTGCTGCTCTTCACGCTCTTCACCACCCTGATGTCTTGAGTAGCCCGATGCCGGGCTTTGGCCAGTCTGAAGACGAACTTCTCTGCGTTTCTGCTTTCCAACTTCTCGTACAAGGCGTCCATCTCCGTGTTCTTTGCCTTGGCGACGGCGGCCTTAGCGAGCCTCTTGCAACTCTTGTAGGTAGCGAGGTCCTTCGGGGCTCCGGGTCTTCTGCCAGCGCTTGTATGCTTCCTTCTGCTTCACGACTCGCTGGACCTCCTCGTTCCAGAACCACGCTGCCTTGTCTCCTCTGAATCCACCTCGCGTCTCGCCCAGTACCTCCTTGGCGCATCGTAGGATGATCTCAGCTGCAGTGCCCCAAGTCTGCTGCACTGGTCCCTCAGGATCTGGGAGACCAACTTCCATTATCCTTCGCTTGAGGTCGCTCTTCTCGGTGCAACTTCCACCACCGGATTCTCTCTCGGTTCTTACCCTTGTCTTCTTGGGGAGCTCCATGGCTATGTCTGCCAGGAGGGGCCTGTGCTGGGGAGCCAGTTCTTCGCCAGGGAGTACCTTGACGTCCTTCACAGTTCTTGAGGGATGATCTTCTTACCAGCACATGGTCGATTTCCGTCTGTCTCCCTCCACTGCTGTAGGTGACCTTCTGAGTCTCCCTTTTCGCGAAGAACGCTGCAGATCGTGGGCCGTAGCCAGGTCCAGGACCCTCTCTCCCTCGGCGTTCCTCACTCCTATTCCTCTACCTCCGTGCACCCTTTCCAGGCCTCTTCTGTCACTGCCGACGTGACCATTCAGATCACCTGCTATGGTCAGGTAATCGCCTTCCGGAATCGTTCTGATGGCATCGTCAAGGCTCAGATAGAACTCGTCCTTGTCACTTTCGGGGCATCCGGCTTGCGGTGCGTACACGGAGAGTATTTACTTCCTCACAGCCACGATCCAGTCGCTGTGCGGAGACATGGTCCTTGAGCGACTCCGCTATGCCCACACCGTTCCGCTTGGTGTCTTCCCCATTGTAGTAGAGTTTGACACCTTCCCCGATTTCCCTGGCCTTAGCACCTTTCCATCGCGTCTCCTGAAGGCATAGGACTTGGATATTCCTGCGCGTCATCAGATCAGCAACCTCTCGGGACTTCCCAGTTAGCGATCCTACGTTCAGAGTCCCAATTCGAACTAGCTTCTTTGGCCGAGGCCGTTCACTCCTCGGTAGCCCTCGCATACTGACCACAGAACTCGGGCGGGGGTTCTGCGCGCCACTTCCGGGTGACGTCCTAGCTTTATCACTGATTCTTTTTCGACTTTAGACATGTTTGGTGTGACTGGGGTCTTCATCAGCCGGCCTGTCAACCTGGGCCTGACGCTGGTACTAGAACCATTTTTGCAATTTTTGCAAGGCATGGTTAGCCTCGGCAGGGATCGAACTCGCGGTTTTTCAGAGGTGCAGACATGACTAACCTCCCTGAATGTATG